CCCTAAGCCCTAAACACCCAACCCTAGCCCCTAAGCCCTAAACACCCCTACGGCTCAACGCAGTTCGAAGCTTCTGATAAAGCCCCACGAGTCGCTCCTCATCCAACGATCCCCACATGTTTGCGATGCCTGTGGTACTTGATTATAAGGGTTCCTTTAAAGGGGTGTGTTTAGGGTTTAGGGTTCAGGCTTTAGGGTTCAGGGTTTAGGATTTAGGATACGTGTTCCTTTAAGGGGTCTCTTTAGAGGTGTCTACAAGGGTTTCTACAAAGGTCGCAGTTTTTTATGATACTTGAGTTGCAGGCGGTGGTATGTTCCGGTTGTGAGTTTGGTGGTTGTAGTGGCGCAGCTGTACCCCGCAAGAGCAGAACCCATACCCTCAAGGTCGCAGTCAAAGCTAACACTTCGCAGCCATCGGCTAGCCCCTTATGAATCCTGCGCCCTTTGACGTAAACCTCGAACCCCAAACCGTCAGAGATTTCGGAAGCCGGCCGTCCCAAGCAAGCGGACCCGAGCGTCTACCTTGAAACGACAATCTTCAAACATCTGATTTGGCATTGCCAGCATCGCGTGCCTGAGGCCTGAGTATGGGTCTCTTTGTACGCACTTGGCGTCCTGTAACACCCTCGGATGCCGGCTAGTTCGAGCCATGCAGGAAGCAAGCAACACACTAAAGGCCAAAAGCCCTCAACCTCAACCCGAAACAACTCCCCATCCCCCGCACCCTAAACCCTAAACCCCTAAACCCTAAACCCCTAAACTCCCCATCCCCCCACCGCCCCCGGCTGATTCTGCCGCTCAAATGCCCAAGTACCACTGAGCGGCGACCCTCCCCTCCGAAACCCTACCTGGACCCTCAAGAACCTACCTTCTTAGGGTTGGGTTTAGGGGTTTACAGGGTTTTGGGGTTTATGATGGGGTTTTAAGGGTCTACAGGGCTTTAGGCTTTATTTTGGGCTGTAGGGGGTTCCTTCTTATGAATTCGTTATATAAGTCCCTAACATTGTAGGATTTTTGGGGTTAAGGTAAACCTTAAACCGCTAAACCCTGTCTAGGCCGAGGGCCCGACAAGACCAGCAGCCTGCGCTTCTCCGGATCTACCGGCGGAGGCGCGGCATCTGGAGTTTGTGAACATGCCCCCACGGAGGCACTCAAACCTATCGTAGCAGTGAACCAGCTGCTCCAACGTACAGTCGAGCCCTACTACCAATATGGGACTTTCCGAAAATTAGGGTACCTTATTTGGGGGTCCTTATAGTAAGGATCCTACTATTTAGGGTACTATATCAGGGTCCCCCAGGGATACCTTGGGCAAAGCAAAGCAAAGAGAGAGGGAGAGAGAGACGGAGAGTGCGGTGAAAAGCGAAAAAGAACGCGATGGATGAAGCCCTGAACCCCAAACCCAAAACTCGACATAAACCCTAAACCCCGAAACCCTAAACCCTAAAAACCCTCAAAGCCCCAAAAAACTTGACATTTGGGAAGCCCTAAGCCGGACCTAAGCCCGAAAAGAGCAACGAGATCACAGGACCACGACAGGCAGCTCACGGCCTATAGCCATGAGCCACCGAGGGCTCCCTTGCAGGACGCTTTACGGTATAGGGTTTAGGGTCTTGGGTTTTGGGTTTTGGGGCTTTGGGCTCGGGGTGTGAAGTAGACACTGTCTTTTCAGAAGTCTCCTAGTTGGGGGGCGGTCATGTCTTTGTACCCCCCAGGTGGTCCGGTGCCCCGGACATTTAAACGCCACATCACCGAATCCTCAACTTCCTCTTTCTATTTTGGGCAGTAAGTTATAGTATGGTTATGAGTTTGTAGGGGTAGGGTGACCCCTAAACTCTAAGCCCTAAACCCTAAACTGACGAGATTTGAAGTTCAGGTTTGGATCTCCAAACCCTAAACCCCTAAACCCTAAAACCCTAAAGCCCTAAACCCTGAACCCTAAACCCTAAAGCCTTAAACCCTAAACCCTTAAATCCTTAAACCCTGAACCCCAAACCCTTAAACCCTTAAACCCTTACACCCTATACCCTAAACCGTTTCTGGGGTTCGGCGAGGTGCAGGCCGAAGGTGGACGTGAGGTCAGGTTCTGTGGCTGAGCTTCAGTCTCTTCGTTTCCCAATACCCAGCCTTTAAGCCTGTTGGGTTTAGGGTTTAGGGTTTCAGGTTTGGGGTTCTTATAATGTAGTAGTTTCCCAATACCCAACCTTTAAGCCTTGTGGGTTTAGGGTTTGGGGTTTTTATAATTTAGTAGTAACCTGAAAGTTTGACCTTTCATTTCCCTGGCTTATTGGGGAAGTAAGGTCTCTACAAAGCATCCCAGAGAGATGGAACATGGGTTTTGGATGGCTAGTGCTGCTGGGATTCCCGAAGCCGAACCCTAAACACTAAGAAACACTAAGCCCAAACCCTGAACCCTTCTTTGCACCTTCAGGGCATCAGGATTCGGATATTGTTAGAACCTGATCCTGGTTGCAGGTAGGGTTAGCGTCGGGCAGGTCGGGCTTGCGAGGTCTGTAGGGTTTTAGGGTTTAGGGGTTCAGGGTTTGGGGTTTTGGGGCTTAGTGCATTGCAGTCCCTGCTAAAAGAAAAAGGTTTGCCGGGGTTTGTGGGCTTTTGTGTTCAAGTTGTGGGGGATAAGGTTCAAGGCTTCCGATTGAACTATGTTCCAGACAGCCTCAGTGTGGCGTGCGCAGTCAGGCAACGATTTCGGCTACGGGGTTTCAGGTGTTTGTGGCTGCGAGATTTCGGATTCGCCTTGGTCTGGATTTTATAGAAATCTGTAGGAAATTCCGCAGGCTAACCCTCGCAGCCTAGAGCACGAATACCCAGTATATACCCGCACATTTCCTCATGCCCCCCATGTATGTCTCAAACTCCACCGCGCTATCCGGAGGACTCCGACAGGCAAGTGTCCGTGAGCAGCCACGGCGATGCCGTGGCATCCGTCCTGCAGGATGCCCCGTAGTGCGAAGAAGACAGCAGACTATGGTTTTAGGATGCGGGGTGTAGCTAGACTTCGTCTTTCATGGAAAAATTAAGGTTTACTTTAGGGCAGAACATGAAGTATTTTCGGATAACGCTTGTGGGGTTGAGGTTTCAATCCCGTGGAAGGCTGAAACTGGTGTGAACACAACGAACCAATAGCTTCTATTTTGGGCACCGAAACGGTCCGGCTTCGAATCTATGTATGGTCCCTTTTTGGGTCCTTACTATAATACGGCACCTATTATTTAGGGTAGCCAAAAAGGGACCCTAATTTTGACAACTACCCATTTGGGAATTACTACGTTGATTTAGGGAAGTATCCGCCATAGCAGTACATAGGACCCTGTGGGGCAATGCACAACGGCCCTGAGAATAAGCCTCTTTCCGTGAACCTCTCACACTACGACCTGCAGCCACAGGATTGGTTATAAGGCTATGCGGCTATGCAATACCGTGACACTTGCGGCGAACATTTCGAAATCATATACCTGGCTTGTCATTGTCAGCTTGGGCATGCACCTGGCGTGTCCTTGCTGCGTGGCATGGCCGCCACTCAACTCAGCATCTTGCTGCGCAGGAGCCCTCCCATAAGTGCGTCCAGGACTTCTCCTGAGGGGCACAGCTGCTCTTTGATCGCAGCTGTTTTTGTTGCAAGAATTCTTGCAGCCGGCATCATCGTACTATGGTAGCAGACCTCCGGCTTGCCTTTGTATCTTGAACGTAGCATTCCTTACTGCGGATTTGGATCCTTCTTTGAATTGAGCCCAAGTGCAAGATTTACGGGAGCAACAGCCCCGAGATACCAAAGCCTTGTGGAGCGCTCCTTGCAGGATGCAGATCGTCGCAAGCGGAAGAAAGCCGGACGCCGCAAGAAGGAGGTTTCTTTGGGGCCGGAGCTTAGTTGTCATTAACTATTTGTGCTCCTTCAAAGTCTTGAATTTTGTACGTACGAACAGCAGAAATAATGTATTCTGAAACTCTCTTCTGATGATTATAAGGCTCCTATACTGCACCATGACCAAGACTCCAAAGTCTGTACAAAGGTGTGTATTGGCTTTGGCAGGTTTTTGGAGACACCTTCGCAAAGAGAATCCCGCAAGTGTAGTCACTAGTCCCTGAAACCCCTGCAAAAAGCTTAAATCCGGTTTGAATCACACATGTCACCTCCTGTAGTGCGCAGTCGTGCCGAGAGACCTCGTCTGACTTGTCCGAGTTGCGAGAGCGTAAAGCCTGCTCGAATCCTCAAGCTGCATTGGGTTTATAGGGTTTGGGGTTTAGGGTTTTTCGTTGAACCCCACTCCCACTAGGAAGACATTTCTGAGCCCGAAAAACCTTGCGAAACCTAAACCAAAGTGTCCCAATCAGCTCCGGCGTCAAAGACCCCTAAACCCAATTCCCAACGCCTTACCTTTCAGCCCCATCTCCTATAAAAGCCAATAATTGAGTCCCGAAACACTCGTTCCTCTCTCGCCCACTGGTAATGTAGACCCTTACCTACACTGCAGCCCTACATCTCTATATTTGTGTCTATGGCTCTATCCGTTTAAGAATCTATATCATCTGTGTATCTTTATGTATGTATGCCTAAAACTGAAACTATCTTCACATGCTACAAGATAATATATCCAGTCAATAGAGGCCTCTACGTGAGTCAGAGTCTTACGAGGCCCTAAACCCCTAAACCCTGAAACCCTAAATTGTTCTTTCCAGTTTCCTCCGAAGGCTCCAAAAGTGCCGGCAAGGAAGGAGGAGGCTCGCAGGGGAGACGGATTAATACAGGGGCCTAAGGGCCTAAATAATTACAAATACTTTTTTTTGTTCTTGGGGGGGGTTGTTAAGTATAATAAAGCCCTATTCTAATTATCAAGCCCCCACATCAGGGTCCAGGGTTTGCAGTTTAGGGTTCAGGGATCAGGGTCTAGTCTATAGAGTTTTGAAAGTCTAAACGGTTGCGGGATGAGGGCCCAGGGAGAAGTAGGGTCAAAAGAGCCTATAGAGTCTATACCGTTGCGGGATTAGGGTTTAGGATATTGTATGCTGTCGTCAGTCTCGGGTTTTGCGGTTTAGGGGGCTTTAGGGCGTAGGGCTTCGGGTTTTAAAGCTTAGGGGATTGTAAAGCTTAGGGGTTGGAGGATAGTATCGTTCAGGGTTTAGGATTTAGGGTCTTTCGCTGGAGTGCTTATCCTCTGGAGTGGAGTGCTTGTGTGTTAACGTTTTAGGGCCTCGGCTGAAGAACGGCAGAAGAGGCAATGCTGGCAGTCATCAAGGTTTCAAAAGGGTCTTTCACTGCCACTGCAGCCACTCGCTGATATGCGGCTCTTGCTAGCATGGTGCTGCTGGTCATTGGTTTGCCTTTGCTACCGGTAGCCCAGGTATCTACGAGTCATACTCTCGCCGAGATACCAGCCTGCAAGTAGTGTGTAATGTTTGGGGTATGGGACTATGCTGTGCCGTCCTCAACTACAAACCCTGACCCCAAGTCCCGAATTATTAGGCAGCGAACCCCAAACCCTATAAGCCTGAAGCCGTATAAACCCCAACAAGCCCTATAAACCCCAAACCCTATAAGCCCTGAGCCCTATAAATCCCAAAAACCCTAATAAACCCTACAAGCCCTATAAACCCCAAACCCTGTAAGCCCCGGTCCTGCACGAAAGACCACGGTGCTCGGGCTGATTCTTCGTCAGGCTACTCCTCCGGCATCGCAAGCATCGGAGGAGCTTCGGCTTTTGGCGTGTTTACAGCTTTAGGCGTTCTCTCTTTTAGGGTATAGGGTTTGGGGTTTGGGGTCTAGGGTGAGGGTTTGGGGTTTAGGGTTTAGGGTCTAGGTTTTAGGGTCTAGGGTTTAGCGTTTAGGGTCTAGGGTTCAGGGTCTAGGGTTCAGGGTTGTTTTTGTGTTCCGGGTTAGGCGAAATGTGGGGTCGGGGTTTACGATGGCAGGTTTTCGAACATGAGTTTTTGGCGAGCGGG